TCTTTATTTCTCTCTCCCTTCACTCTCTCCCCCTATTTCTCTTTTTCTCTACCTCTCTCTCTTGGACACAAACACACACACTCACATACATACATCATCATATATTACAATTTCATATGAATATACGCTCCAGTTTATTAATTGTTCCTCATAGAACATCAACCTCACTGAGGAAATAAGCCTCGCTGTTCTCTGTGCAGTATCTTGTCCAGGCTCTTTCATTTGGACAATCAGTCTGAACAATGTCTGTGCAGCTTCATGACGTTTTCCGAGGATTTGAGCCTCAACTGGTTAAGCATGTTGCACAACATCCTATTTGCTTTCTCAGGCCATAGCATGGCATGGTCTGTGCTGCTTTAAGATTATAGAAATGAACATCCTTCTCTTGTTGCAGAATAATTTCCTTCCTATATTTCCATTGCAAGACGCAAACATCCTTGGATTGATAGCTGAATGGAAAAATTGTGAAGTAAATGAAGGATTGTTTTGGACAGGACGATTCTACTTGATATGGAAAGTGTTCATGGGCTGAATTCCACCAGAGTCTAAATATACTTTATTCATGTAACATTTTGAAATTTGCAGAATTTGGCAAGTCTTTGAAATCAGTACAAACACAATACTGACTTTATTTTGGCAGTAATTAACAACTTCCAATTGCTGGATACAAAAAATTCTGCATAAAAGTGTCAAGATTTATACAAGTGTGATTCCTTACCTACAGGGATCATTCACAAGTACGGTAATGGTAAGAGGCCTACAGTGTTTTGGTCAAAACAGAGGACATTTCCTGCAATTAAACGTCAAAGCAAAGCTCTGTACACACTATTTCAGTGAGTGAGCAATAAATGTATGGAACAGGATTCTTCCGGAGACGGTGAAAGCAGAAAGGTTTGATTCTTTCAAAAGCAAACAAGATAGATTTGTTTCAGGAAATAATCTTGGAGGACAGTAAATGTATAGAACAGGATTGCTCTGGAGACGGTGAACGCAGAAATTGTAGATGATTTCAAAAGCATGTGGGATAGACCTAATTCAGGAAATTATAACTTGGGGGACGGTAAAGATTTGGGGCCATGACAAGTGAATTTCACTATGAGGATAGTGGAAGGTGAACTGGACGGGCTCTGGTCTTATATTGTAACACCATTCTTATGTTCCAACTAAGCTGTTGGATTGGATCAGATCAGGTTGAAAGCAGATATAACTGAGGATGTTAAACGTAGTGAACACAGGATACAGTAAGGAATGTGCTTTTTAGTTAGCAGGATAATCAAGGTCAATATTGCACCACATTTCTGCACGGTTAATCCCCAAATCATTAATAGGGTTGGCTGGAAATGCAGAGGTTGGATGACGAGAGGTCAAAACAGCACATGGTACAAAAAAAATGATGTATGTTTTGATAGAGCTGGAAAATTATTTACATGTAAGATACGTGAATACTAATGTAGATGAAACAAACGGCAGAAGTTGTCACAGAATGGTCAGAACAAATGTACTTTTGTGCAGGGAATTTCCTCCTTACTGTGCAATTGTGAGTATTTTGTTATTGATCTGTCAACTTATTTTTTTCCCATGAAGCTGCTCGGTTCAAATTGTGCAGCTCAGCAGAGGCAGGAGATAAAACTATGTCAATGCATAAAACAGATTGAACACGCGCATTGTTCCATAAATACTCTAACACATAAATGCATGTTATTCTATTAGAATAGCCACGTGTCTGAAGCTGTATCTGGGTGTGGGGCAGATCATTGGGGACGGAAGCAGCTGCTGGTCACTGGAGCAAAGAATAACTCAAGTGGAACAATTTTATAGCAAAGCTATATCTGAAGTAGGACATTACATTTAACAGCTTTTGTTTAATGCTGACTTACTGGAATCTGTCGAATTTGGAAATCAGGAGCAAAGGCAAAATTGACACAAAAGGAACAGGAAATAAAAATATCAAACAGCTCAATCAGCCGTCACATCTTTATTGATATATCACGGTAACAATATAGAGAATCTGCAGACATTAAGAAACAGGAGTGAATACATATATAGAGCATCAAATTAATATCAAAGCATAGATACCTCAGTCACTGTCTTTCGGTATCGTTACATCACAAAAAAATTAAACAGCAAATGAAGACTATCAGAGAGCCGTGATGGTAACATTATTAGTTATTGTTTCCAAAAGGCATATTGTAAAATAAACTAAAGATAAGAAAAGGTACTAAAATTCACATAGTTGCACAACACATTGTTTATTTTCAGCTGATTTCTATAATGGGGGAAAAAAGACAGCACATAATCAGTCTCAAGACACCGTTGTTAAACACAGACGGACGAGACACATCGATGAATATGATCTGAAGAAACTCAATTTATCTGGAAAATAAAAGCAAATATATAATGAATGATTTCAGCCGAGATAGAGAATTCATGTTCAGGCATATGTTTAATGTTCTATATGTATATATATATATATATTTATATATATATCAACACAGACACTAACACACTAACAAGAATAAATACACAAAAACAAATACAAATAAACAAACACACACACACACAGTCACACATACACGAATCCAACTGATTGTCTTTTAATTTTTAGTTGCTTGCTGGGAACTGTGGCAGACAGAACGATTTCATGATGCTTTAAATTGTCCACAATGTACAGACAGAGGTACATAATCTGTAAAGAACCATTAGCCCTTGCCTAGTCTATACCAGGTGAGCATATCTCAGGTGCGATAGGGTTTGTAATGGAGAGGATATTCTCATCACCTTCACACAGCCCAGTAACAAGGAACTTGGCCTAAAAAGAGAGGGAAAGTTCTCAGCAAAGTGGTGGCAATGAGAATGACAATGAGGGTTCCTATGGAACAAATATTCAACATCAGCTGCTACATCATATCATGGCGTCAAATAATTTATTCTCATCACCTTAATTAGAGTGACGGCTGCGCTGTACATAATACTCAGGAAGAAGAGGATGATGAAGGTGGAAGCAGTAGGCCACAGGTTGTCACTTGGTACTTCTTGAAAACCTTTCAGCATCATCTCGTTTGGGAAATCTGTTAGGATAAAAAAAAGGAAATATCTTTAGATGGGATTCAAACCTGAGGCCTTTCTGCTTTCAACGAATTTTTGTTAATTTTATGCATTTTCCCAGTTGATCACGGGCTCCCTCACTTTAATAAACTGCACGTTCCCTTCGATCAATTCTTTCTAAATGTTTAGTTTTAACAGAAGTAAAGGAATCTTGGTTTTATTTTTTCTTGCTCACAACTAATGAATCCAAAAAAGAACTGGGGGAACATTTTGGGAAATTAAAATTCGTGGAATAACAGAAGGATGGAAATACTACCATTGAGATTCCGCTGTTAGAAAATGGACATATCGTCCCCAATCATCCAATTCCTCCTTTCTGCCTATATTGTACGTTCACACAGTGACTGTCCAAATTCCATTTTAAATTTCTTCACATAATGGTTTAGAGATAAAGCATAATATATTCTAAAAAATCTGAATTTAGGAACTGACTAATCCTTCATATGTTACAGTGGCTTTCCTGCATGTTTTATCCCGTTTGTATGGATACAATCCTCTTTCGTTGCTTCAGTCTTTGAAGACTTCATGGATTTAAATGCTTTGGTACGACTCTCTTCAATTTTTCTTTTACTTTGTGTTTTTAGAAGTACAGCAACAATATTTGTAGCTGTTCGCTGCAGCGCCAATCACAGGCATTATTTTCATGGTCTTTGTGTAACTGCCCAAAACCCTCTCAGCAGCTCTTATGTCCTTTGTGTGATAAATTGTCCAGAACCACATGTAGTGATCCACTCACAATCCCGTTAACTTGAAATGTCATTGACAGTCGATTAACTTTGCGAAAATCACAGAATCTGTTTCAGTGATCTTCCGATACGTTTTCCAATCGACGTGTTTCCAAGTTTTTTGCCATTCCACTTATAACAGAATTATTTTGCTGCTATTCCTGCAGTGATTATTTTACTATAAATACACTTCAACAAACTGGTGTCTCAACATTGAACTACATTTCCACCTCTCTGGAAACTCAGTTAAAATGTCTGTTACATTACGCAATTCCCCAGGTTATTCCTGAATTTGTCAGCGTCCCCTACTCTTTCATCATCAACGTTTTTATAAATGGCACCATTTCTATTTCGAAATGGCTGATATTGTTGTAAAGCAATAGAACAACCAGCAAAAACATTTGTGTAAATCAACTAAACAGATTGAGGTATAAGTGAACAGGGTTCATCCCTGAGGGCCATCAAGTGTGTGAGGGCCTGGGTTGGTGTGAATGTAGTTAAGTGCGTGGGGACTGGGTGGAAGTGTTGTGTGTGAGTTTGTGTGGGCCTGGGTAGACATGGTAGTGAATGAGTGTGCGAATGTCTGTGTGTATGAGTGCAAATGTGGACTTGGGTGGATTGAGCGTGTGTGCAGATTGTGAATGAGTGTATTTATTTACAATGTAGAAGCGTGGCTAAGCGAGTGTTCAAGTGAATATGTAACCTTATCCAAATCTTTTCTGTGGAACAAGTATCATTGTTATAGGTAATTTACCAAAAAAGGCCATAGTTTACATCTGAGATGTTGTTTCGTGTAGAATGCGATGCTTTTCAGTGATAGAGAAAATATCCTGCAAGGGAAAAGGTGTAGCTGTGCTGTGCAATTATAAAACAAACTGCAAATAAAATTCGTTTTGAGATTGGATTATAACCAGTGATGTTGAATTAGTGGGACTTTATTGTCAACTTATATTTTCGGGGGTTGTGTGTGGGTGGTGGAGTCGTAGGGGTCTGGGGTGGGGTGGTGGTCAGCCCGGTGTATGACACATGTGGAAACATATCATCACGCTTAATTGTAACCACCAAAATGACTGCGGTAATAACTTGATATTGGCATTGCTTCCAAAAAAAATGGATCAGTCCTCACGCTGGAAAATATCTGTGTAATTAATTTTAATTCAATCCGAAGTACCTGATACATCAATAAAACAATGATCTTTATTTGATTTAATTGTTGAAAACTGACAATGCAATGGCAAGAAGGTGGGTGCACAAAAGGACAAGCAAGATGGTATTGAGAGACACTCAGTGACACGGATTCACGGTGTCCATCAGGACAAGTGCAAGGTTTACAAAACTCGGTTTACCGCTGGATTTATTTACGGTTCTGGTCAGGGTCTTCAGTGGGAACGTTTCGTGGCCCACCACACATGAGTATGAGGGTCTTCTGTTCCACTCATCGACTGAGAGGGTTAACATGCTGTACATGGAGTAGTTGAGATCTTCACTGTCTGCCATCACCTCGGTGTTTCTGTACTTGTTGGCATCAATCAACTGGTCATTCACAGTCCACTGCACAAAGATCTCTTTGGGAGCGAAGTCCTTCACCAGGCAGGTCAAGGTGACAAACTGCTGAGCAGCCATTTCTTCTGCCGAGGGGAGGAGCAGATACACTGAAGGTTGTTTTGTGTACATAACTGTGGGAAGAATGCAATCAGATCAATACAATGATGGTGTCAATCATAGAATATTTTGAAGCATCAGATCTTGCAGAACAAGCTGAGAATAATGTTTGTGTCTCTGTTCAATCTGTGCTCAGTGGTTTGTAATTGTTTGTGTGACTAGGAACATTGGTGTGGGTTGAAATCCCCGACAGGACTTTATTATATGCACCCAGTGACCAGCGGTTCAGATATGGTAACTCTGCTCCCTGAGAACATGTGTAAACATCCTCCAGATGATGGTTAGATTCTTGTTGATATAATTCATGTGAGTGAATGTACTTAACAAGTTTTATCTATAAATTGTTGTCCGACCTTTGTGAGAGGTTATAAATCTATCGAAAGACAAACAGAAAAAGAAGCAAACAGAGAGCTGATCATTGTATTCCCAGTTGTTTCTGTTGACTGAAATCTGAAATTACAATAAACAAATAAATCATTTATTTCCTGAAATATGGCTACTCACCTTTCCTCTTAAATGTCTTTTCTCCGATGGGAGTTGGAATATCTTCATGATTGGCAAGGCAGAAGAATTCTTTCCCACTCTTCCAGTCCTGTGTAGAAACGTTTAATTTACTGATCACTTCCTGAGGCTCAGTGGCAGACGGTTTCCCATATCCAGACTGTAAATGTGTCTTTCCTTGTGTCCAAGTCACGTTGACGTCAAGTGGTGCATTGGCCACGACACATGTCAGCGTTACAGTGGACTCCATTAAAACCTGTTGCTGCGAGGGTGGCAGGAAAGAGACCTTCACACCCCCAGTGGGTTGCTCACATTCTAGAAAAGGAAAACATACATGAAACTGGATTAACAACCAATATCCAGGATTTCATATTCGGTCAGTTAAACAATACTGTCCATGAATATTCTCACATTGTGGGTGAGCTGAACACAGATTGCTGATTCCGAATATGCTCATCATTTGGTGTTGGAATAATTTACTGGAATACTGAACAAGACTTCCTGAAGGACTGCGTGATATTGCACCTGTTGAGTTTCAATTCCATCTGACTGAATACCACTCAGGAATAAACACGTGTATTGGATGACTTGTAACTGTGCGTTTAACTGTATACCTTCTCGGATTAACCCAAATTCACTCTTTGTGTCCAGGAAACAAAGTGGAAGTAATTGTTGAGGAAGTGTGTGGTATAGCTCTGCGGATAAAAGGCTGTAGATTGCGGCCCGATTTCTTCATGTTGCTCAGTTCAATAAACTTGGGGTCAAAGCTCGCATGTGTATTGCTTTCATTGAAACACCAAAAAGGGGCACTACACAAATGAAGGTAGCATTGTCAGGCCAAGCAGGTTCTCTGTTTGTATGTGTGTGTGTTCATGTGTGTATGTATGTATGTATGTATGTATGCAGTTTTTAGAAAAGCCGCTGAAACTAAACTGTTGCATCAATTTCCTAATCGTCTGTTTCATTTCCTAAAATATTTTTGTTTCAAGGTTACTAAGACATTTGGGTAATCTTAAATTTTGATGCAATCGTCAGAAGATTTCAAACATATTTCTTTGTGGCTCTGATATGTATTAAAACAAGTTACTCTGCTCAGATTGATGACAGAATCGACACAGTCAATGGCCACCAGACAGCCGATGTGTGTTGTTAAAATAGTACATTAAATATTGATAAGAATAATATCACTTGCATTGGAAATAGCGTCTTATCAAGTCTTTGAGATATTTCAATGCGCTTCACAGAAAACAATGTGAAGTGAAATCAGTGTATATTGTCTGTGCGAAAAATATTTGATTGACTGTTGAAGAATTTTGATCCCTCTTAATTTTGTAATCTACAAAACTAGAGAACGATTAAAATGGTTAGGTTCAGTGTTTACATGAGGAATGAAGGACTGCAATCAGTGTTGTGCCCAGGACACGGAAATACCCAACATATCTATGGTTATTTTTGTCGCAATCAGCTGTGAAATGGTGAAATAAAGGCAGAAGCCGCTGTCCGGCGTTTGATGTCAGTGACGCTGCATGCCTATCGGGCAAAGCAATATTACATTCACATTTGAAACAATAAATAGAATATTCCTTGCATTTGGTATAGCGACATATCACGTCTTCGAGACGTCTCAAAGTGCTTCAAAGAATACACTCTAAATTGAATTCACTGTATTTTTGTGGGCGAAATGCGGCATCCGAATGCGTACAGCAGTTTTCCGCAAACAGTCGTGCATTCAGTGACACATTTATTTTTAATATATTGAAGAGACTAATACCTCCGGGGAAGCAATCTGTTGATTGACTAACAGGTTTGTTGCTACTTACTGTAAGGCAAACCGAATTGTTGTTGTAAGTGTGGAGTAAGGAGACCTTCCTGACATTTCACACTACCCGGGAATCAAACACAGGTTGTCTCTCTTGCGAGGCGAGTGCTCTGAACCCGGAGCTGCAGGACTCCACAGAATGGATAACATTCTGCTTTGCTTCACAGTCTGTATTACCCTGAATTGTGTTAGATTCATGTGGTGACAGTTAAATGTCCTGTGGTCACGCTGCATTCATGCCACACAGGCTGACAGACAGAGGCAGGTGATATAAATATATAAAACAAGCAGTGCTGGTGTCTGTGGGTCTGTTTCCAGCCCCTGCTGTCACCGAGTTGTAAGCTATCAATAAATAAAATTAACTGATTATACAAATAGAGACATTATTCACTTCTGAGATCCGAATCCTCAACTGATAATAAACACTTGGAGATCATTATGTCTTTACTTTAAGATGGCGCGGAAGTTTCTAATAATGTAAAACTTACTTTAAATTTGGATTCCAGTTCTACTTAAGAATTCGGGAAACCTCTTTTTAGAAATCAATCTGAATTTAACAAATATTTACAAATCTGCGGGATTTTGCACATTACCAAAACTCGGACTCCTCACAAACAAAGCATCTTTGCATGTCTCGGCCTCTGGGAAGATATTTATAAAACAAACCTTCACTTTGCTCTTTCCTACTACTCGATCTGAGGGTTAAGCATGAACCGAGCTCCCAACCGCTCTCCCCACAGTGAGATGTCCGGGTTCAGCCGTTTGCTATTACACTGTTCAACGCCGTTCTCACACACAGTCACAGCCTGAACCCTCACATCTCAAACACACAGTGTTTCCATCCAGTAACCCACAGGTTACTCCATGTTCACTTTCCCTCAGCCTGAAGCTGTCAGTAACCGCACAGCAGCTCACACACTCTCCATCCACATCACACACGATGCATTGTACATTGTGCAAAGTAACTCACGGTCACAATTCCCTGCAGCTCAAACAGTTACACAGAATAACCAAATCATGTATTTACAGTCGAATCAGAAACTAATTCCTTTCACCATCATCTCTGCTGAGTCTGGAGTTTAGCTGGTCAGTTCTGGTATCATTAGCTTCATGTCAGTGATCAATACCGCTGTGTGTTAATCATCTCATAAACAAATGTATCTGATTCATTGCAGCGTCTTATTCAGAGTTTACCATTTGTTTACTGAAAAACAACAATTTTAGCAATTTTTCTGCTGATCAGTTCATGTAAAACAGGAAACTCATATTTGCAGATGAACAGTTACACAGAATAACTAAAGCATGTGATTACAGTAAAATGAGAAATGTCTTCCTTTCACCCTCATCTTTGCCAAGTCTGAAGTTTGTGATGATCAACTATGATATCATTAGTTTGATGTCAGTGACCAGTTTCGATTTTTGTTATACATGTCATTAATAACTGGATCCCTCACAATGCAGTCTGCTCTTGAAACTTGAACATATGTTTGATGAATAAATCTGTGTTTTTTCTGCAAGATAGTTAGTGTAAAGCAGGAAGCTGATGATTGTAGATCAACACCGACCTCTGTACACTGTGAGGAATCGAAGTCAGTTTAAACCAACCGCTGGCAATATCAATTAAAATGAAGCATGAGATCAAAGAGGAGCTGCATATTATCGTGGCTGGTGCATGGGCAGCTGAGGAAAAGAAACTGTGAGCAACACGTTCATGGTATTATTACTTAAAATAAAAATATTCACTAATATTTCTGTAACATTCGTGCAGATTTGAGTTGAGGCATTGTCAGTCACATCCCAGCAGTGTCAACCCGCTTTACTCTCACACTCACCTCCTCCCAGATGAACATCTTTAACCCTCAGCCACGCTCCTTATATTAAACAACGGATTGAAATACATGTGGGAATCGATTAGATAACCTTACCGTCACTCATCCTGCGACATTCGGGTCCTGATTTCCAAAATTTGGGCATAGTTTGAAACACTTTTATACAATTGCCGGCGACATTATCCCCGAAAAACAGCAGTCGCCAGTCACCGCGAACAAACATTGCAGAATGTCCATCACTATAATTTCAGCTGGATATTCACAAATCACTAAAAATATCACAAACAATAAACTAAACATTTAGAGAATAATACATAAAGAAGAGTTGTGTGGAAAGCAATGACAGCTAAAAATCTTTAGCGTGTATCAAAGGGTGAGGTAGCCCGTCCATGCAGAGATCATTACATTAAAAAGGTGTTAAAGTGAACAAAACAAATATACACAGAGACAATTCAGACAAGTGAGTGAGATAGGATCAGCTTCTTACCATCCGTCACAGTCAACACGGTGCCTTGACCCTTGTAGTCACTGTGCTACAGTCAGTGTGCTGCCCACTGCAACAACCTGCTGTGCGGGCAGGACACACAAACACAACATTACTGTAAATATTGGCTCTCCCAAACCAAATACAATACCCAATATATTTCTGTAATGTTCTGAAAACAATCGCTTGGCTCCGTGTTTACCTGTTAAGTGTTTGTATCTTTGCCAGTTTGCAGTGTTCATGTCAAACACGTTTTATTGTCACCAACAGATTGAAGGTGAAATGTAATATTTTATATCTATTAAATCGGGCAATTTGCTCAGCGGTCGGCACCATTTTACGAACACCAATGCTCCGCATATTCAGTGGGACACACAAAAGCGAACAGAGCGAGAGAGTAGCTGGTTTGGGGTTGGAGGGTTTTTGCATTGATAGTTAATGCCGTGGTACTTTTGTCACTGTGCTGCAGTCAGTGTGCTGCCCACTGCAACAACCCACGGTGCGGGCAAGGCACACAAATACAATATTAGTAAATGTTGGCTTCCCCAAACCAAATGAAGCGCACAATATAATTCTGTAATGTTCTGAAAACAATTGCTTGTCTCTGTGTTTACCTGTTGAATGATTTGCTTTTCTGCCAGTTCGCAGTGCTCACCTCAAACACATTTTCTTGCCAAGAACAGATTGAAGAACAAATATAATGAGTTGTGTCTATTATCGTAATAAAATCCTCAACAATAGACACCATTTTATAAATGCCAATTCCTCAAATATTCAGTGGGACCCACACAAGCGAGCAGTGAAAGAGATTAGCTGGTTTGGTGTTGAGGGGTTTTTGTATTGACTGTTAATGCCGTGCGGCGTTTGTCACAGTGATACACAACATGACAAAAACTCCTGCACAGGATGAACTAACATATATTGAACCTGAATTTCTGGCAACTGCTGGACCTCAGTTCAGAGAATACTTTGATGGCTCCTGAGATGTTTCGGTCAGAATAAATTCTTATGTTTTCCAGAGAATTTCGTTTAATGTCCGAGCAGATCCACAGACGTAAATCTCGTTGAGTAACATCCTGTAATCAAAATTAACCGGAATTTGTCTGTTAAACAGCAGGTTATTTCTGAGAATTATCCATTTTCAGGGCCGTTTACATCGGTGCTGTGGATGTTGTATGATGAATGGAGTCAGCAGTCTCTGTGGCAGGAGTTTTTGTATGAGGAGGTGGTTGAATGCAGCATTGTGTCTTGTCTTTACACAGTGATACAGCCCAATACAAATACTGATCCCCAATATCTGCACAATATCGGCTGCCGAAATTCACTGAAAGTGACTATTCTCCTCTGACGTGACGCAGAATCTGTCTCATAGTTTCCTCACATCCACAGAAACAGAATGTAATTATTTCCAACAGCTTGTGACTTGGTGATGTTTTTAAACCGTCATGTAATCAGTCTCCAATCGCAGTTCTTCCCGCCTCAACAGCACAGTGTCACTGACCGTCTGAAATCACAGAATATTACAGCACAGATAACCAGGTCTTGCGCCCCAATCAACACCGATTCAATGTGTGGGTTCAGTCTGATAGTAAATGCAACTTCAGCTTTTCCTTTAAATTTTGGCCCAAAACAGCATTGACACCATGTTTGCCCTCAGTCAGTTTAGGGTGGGAGGGGCTGCCTTTCCTGCCCTTGTGTATTTGTAGGAGTTCAGCCCCGTTTCCTCTCACTGTGTCTTAATTTCACAGTAATAGGTGGAGGTGTCGTGCACTGTCGGGCATTTGATGATCAGATCGAAGATGCTTTGGGAATCTTCTCTGATGACAATGACACGGTTTTCAAACCCGGACCCGAATGACTTGATGGATGAGCCTTCATACTGGAGCAGATTTTCCTGCTGCTTCCCGGGAAGCTGCCGGTACCAGGACATGTGTGCTATGCTGAGATTAAACCCGCTGGATTCACAGGTCAGTCTCAGGGCCTGGCCGGTTTTCCCGGTTAGATACGGCGGCTG